TGAACGCCGTCATTTTTAATGAGCTTTCGACCATTTTCTTTTTTATATTAAATCTGCCTTTACTTTTCGTCCATATCGTGCCCGTGAATTTTTCAAAGACAGGTGACGATTGAGCTTTGATTTTGAAGCTCGCTGAGAATTCCTTTGGGGTGCCGTAGCCTGAAAGTGACACCGGAGGGGGTACTTGGAGTTTCGGTTAAGTCAAAGGTCAAAAGCGTTACGCGTTACGTGAAACGACCCAGTGCCCATGTAAGCCGCAAGAGCTGTGGGGTGCTCGGGTGGGTTTTAATGGAAGCGACAGGTGTCCCCCCAGTGCTGGTGAAACATTCGAGGGGTGGTTTTCACAGTATTCTAAAGTTTCCGAATGGGGCGGTAGGTTGCCAGGGCTATCGGGAACCATTCATCATCGACTGACGACCGCAAAGAGCAACACGCTTCATCTTTTTCAGCGAGCAATCGAAAAGGGACATCGAGTGAGGCATTGTGGGAAATGAAAAGAAGAGCTGGAATTTTTTTTTTTTTTTTTTCGTCAGCTCATTATTGCCGCCTTGGAAAAAAGGTGGTTAAAGGTAAAGGCGACCGTCAGTGCGGGTATGTATGGTTGAAAAATACTTAACATGAAAATGGCTAACCCGGTCATTTCCGCTCTCGCCAAATACTCCGTTATCGCCTCGTTTTCCACTTTCGCGTATATACGCGTGTACGTGTATATATATATATATATATAGCTAGAGGTATCTACCCTCGGAACGGGGTGCGTTCCATCATCGTAAATTTAAGTTCTTGCCCGTTACGGTCGATCCTTCACACCGGATGCTGCCTACCCCTAGCGCGAATATGGCTTCCGGTTGGGGATCCCCATACGATATGAATCGTGCAATCAACGCCGCCACACTCGAGGTCCTCGAAGGCCTCGAATTCTCTTCGCTCTTCCCGCTGGTCCATTCTGCGGGAGAAATTGAAGAGAGGAGTTTTCCCCTCGCCCGTCATTTTATCCCATGCTTCTTCAAAGAGGATATCGGGGGACAGGGAGTGGTCCAGGGTCGATCCGGAGACAAGGGACGGGATTAAGGGAGGATCGTCCGGGGGCGCCGAAAGGCAAAAGCCTTTCTTGAGAGGCTGTCATGAATGATCGAGATTCTTTTTTTGGGATTTCGTCGATGCGTCAACGTATGCTTTTTCCAAGGGATGAAAAATTTCATCTTTCTTTCGGGATTACGGTACAGGACCGGGTGCAGATCTTGCGCCCTTTTTATTCGCACCCACCCTTACACCCTCGGAACCCCCTTTCACCTTCAAGTCCTTCCTCCAGCCTCTTCCCGTGGTCCAGACTCTCGCAGGACTTCGGGGCTCATCGTCCTCTAAGAAATTGATTGGTCCAGCTTTATGGGGCTTCTGAACGGGATGCTTGGAGATTGGGGTAAATTTGTTGGGGTTGACTTTGCGGCTCTTAGGAGTAATTTAGTGTGTCGATCTCGGGGATGGGTTCAAGTGCATTCCTGACGGTCCAGAGTCTCGACGAAGATCAAGGCAGGTCCAGAAGCACTAAAGCAAAGGGTTGCTTTCGATGCACCCCCCTCCCTCCCCACAGCCGACTTGCATCTCACTTTCAGGAATTTCGTCCTGGAAAAAGCTCCCGAAGCTTTTTCCAGCTGAACGTCAAAGGGTATTATCCAGCATCCCAGAGTTGATCCTTTCGGATGATACTCGTCTCAATAATTGGATCAGCAGGAGGGTTCCAACTTTTCTATAGAAAATTAAGTAATTACGAAGAAAAAAAAAATAAAACCAGCAATATAAAGTAAAATTTTTTTTCTCCACCCACCAACCCTACCCTTTATCAAGATTCCCGTTTAACGCCATTCTAATTTATCTGCGCAACCAAAAGATCACACTCTCGGAAAAGCATCCCTCTGTCACCGGGCTCTCGTTGACTCTCTCGTACAATCAGATATCCCCTGGGACGTGGGTCACCCTGGATGATAGACCGCATCCCGCAAAGGCAGCACCGACAAGTAGGTATTCCATATGGAAACTATGAGAACGAGAATTTTCCAAATGATTTACCGGAAATGCGTAGCTCGAGTAACACTTGGTCTACCCCTTTACAGTTTCCGCTTAGAAAGGCATCGGAAGCTTCTTTTCCTCCTTTCTCCCTCTGTCTCTCGCGTTTCTCCATTCTCCTCTATTTATCTCTCCGCTCCGCTCCTCCCTCGTCCCCTCGCCCGAAACCTTTTCTTTTCTCTTGCACTCCGAGAGCCTTCCTCATCCACTACTTCACGCTACTACGGAGATCCAGGTCACTGCCTCCTTTATGCACGGCGAACGGAACACGTATTTTGTTTTAGTCCCGTATATTTTTCCGGTTCGGGACGAAGACGAGGAGTCGAACGGAGAAAAAGATAGAAGAGCTAGGAGGAGACGGGTGACAGAAGAAAAAAGGGAATAAGAGCAAACATGAAATACATGAAAATGCAAAAAAAAAAAATTTCCATTTTAAACAACACAACTTTCTATCACTTTGCCAAAGTGCAACCTGAGGATCCCTGCAATTACACAAGAAACGTATCCCCCATATGCAAAATTACCATTACAAGGTACAGAGATCCCTTTTATGGTGAAAAATTTTAAGTGACCGTCGACAAAAAAAAAATTGAATTTTTCATTTAACAAAATTTCCAAACCACCCTAAGGAACTGGTCACGCATATAAGTCAGCAGTACAGTTCCTTGGCGATCGATCTTATCGTCCTCTGTAAAACGAGGACCGGTATACATTTTCCGTTTCAATTTTACGTCAAGGACAGGATCATAATTCCCAGCCAGGTTTCAGTTCGCGTATCCACGGCAACGACAGGGGCGTACTCACGATTTTTCGATCCCCGTGGATCTACCTCGGGCAGGGATTTCATCAGGACTTAAGTACGTGTAAACCTCGCTCTAGCTGTCATCCCCTCAGCCTCCTTCCTGAACCCCATTGCCATAACCATAAAGTCACCACTCGCACCGGAGCGATCGTTACGTTTTCCGATTGATTTATTTTTTTCATGATGACCCGACGCTACAAATCGCACGATTACCAATCCCCCCCCTATGAGATCACGCTCGCTCACAAGAGGAGCCAAAGTGCGAATAAGCCGAATACGCATCACCCGCTGGTCCAGGGTATCAACCCCCCTCGATCTACTTTTTATTTTTTGCAAAATCCTCCCCTTATATATCCCCGGCCCTGGAGTCGCCTGAAGCACACACGTAAATTCAAAAAAGTTTTCATCGCTGACTCAAAATCATAATAAATAATTCACACGATCCTTACCGATACATTTTCTTCGTATTATAATATACAAGGGTTCGCTCGAGCGTAAGGGATGAAATTTTTTTCAAAAAAAAAACTTGAGGTATCATACGCGCTCAGGCAAAAATCTAGTTTTCGAGAAGGTATATGGGGTTTCTGAAAATTCAACCTCTGGAAGAGGCTTCTCACGTGACGTCATCGAATAACCCTGGTCCTTCGGATGAAATATGAAATGACGGATAGACGAGACGTTTGCACGCCTCTGGACAATACTCCATTGTGTTGCCAACGTGACAAAGGGTGCTCAAACCATATTTACAGAATTACATCACGTTTCAACCCCCTAGGACCAGATATACGATAAACAATTTTTTTTCCCTCTCTCGAGTCTATGAAAACTGGGCTACGCTATGCTGGAAGAAATAAAAGGGACAAGCCGGTGTTCCAGAAGCGAAGCTAAAAGCAAACGGCAGAGTCGTCTTTGCTTGGCGCCTCGAGGATTTGCCTGGATTTTCGAGTTTCGCCAACTAAAACGTGTACACGTGGTTAGTATCACTCGTATTCGCAGAAGCGGATAGGAAAAGTTTGAAAATCACGTTCGGCCCAAGAACCGCTGGCAGCGGACGTGAATAAACTTCCGATTTTTCAGCTTAATAACCACACGAGGCACGTGAGGCGTCGCGACGCACCTTAATCAGAGATAAGAAATTATTATATATTTCCAAGAAACAGGCACGCGCGACCCTGAAAATAACCCCGTTAAACAAAATTTGGAGTAAAAAAAAAATTCCCAGGATCCAACGAATCAAGAAATTTTTCTAGCACGACCCCCCTCCCTTCCGGCCCCCTCCCGTATGAACTTCACCCAAAAGAGCCACCCCTTGCCCAGGCGTATCCCAATTAGCGGGCTTTCCTTCCGGCAGGAAATTAGCACCCCCTTGACTCACGCCCGGGAGCACTGATCATTTCGGTAAACAGGGGATGCTGGGGGTTGATCTAACAAGGGAGCATCGCGTCAGCGATCGGTTCGGGCAGCCAACATATGTGACAAACACACGCACGGTGACGCACCACGTGCGAACGTGTCACAGCCACAGGGTTACTCAAGGGCATCGGGTGAACCTGAGGTAGTCTATCGTTTACAAGAAATAAGCCAAATTAAAATAATAATAAAAAAAAATGCCCACCGGCAATACATTCACTGATTATCGATTCGATTATCGTCTACGATAATAATTAATATCCATTAGCCTACACAAAGAGTCGTTATAACGGTGGATTTCTATGGGACTATATCCCGTCACGTATATCCACGTGGACTCTCGTATCGCGTAGCGACAGCCTGCCGCGAATTCTCTTGTCGCGGTTCTCGCGACAGGCAGTTGCACCGTAATCCTTAGTAATCGCCCGTGTATTGTCCGGACGCTCTCTGAAATAACAGATAACCCCAGGATATACTCGTTCGGGCGAGCATACAGTATGCGGACGGTATACGCCTATGAGCGAACCCGGAAGTAGTCGTCTCTCGGTTCCCCATTGAGAATTCAGGCCTCCATAGGAGGATTAAGGTTCGATTAGACGCAAACCTATGTAAGCTGTATACAGCTCTATGGTATTGTATATCTATATCTGGGATATCTGGCTTATCGAATAAAAGTTGAAAATAAATTTTGTTAATTACATTATTAAAATATCGACTGACTTACCGCCTCGGTGTGTACTGGATGAGTGGCGAATAGGAGTCCCGTAAGGGCTGCGAATCCAGGACGCAGGGACGCCACGGCAAGACTGACCCTCGTGACGAGAATGCAGGCCGCCGCGTGAAGGGCAATATTGGTCGCGTGATACCAGGTCGGGGTTAAACCAGCGGCCAGATAATTTAATCTGTAAATATAAAAAAAAAATATATTCAGGAATTATATTCCGATCAATTTAATTAAGTGAAATTCGAACGTGACGTCTGATCTCAAATGGATTTAGTACGGACAATTCACGGGTACGAGTGACCTGATAAGGGAGTGATTAAAAAATATTTTAATTCGGGATCGATTTATCTTCGTGATTTAGATAAGGTTGCGATTGAGGGAAATTCTTTTATAGTTATTAATTTCTTTGTCATTCTTGTCAAATCACTGTACGGGATCGATCGATCAATCGGTCCATTGGGTCTGAGTCATTTGTCATCGGTGGGAAGTTATTGATAAGAGACCCTTCGATAAGGAGGCTTTAATATCCTAAGGATACTCGAGCGAGAATTTTCTTGAATTTTTGACAGATTATAAACGCCCGAGCATTTTCAAATAAATGAAAAACTTTTGTAAAATCCTATTAAAAATTCATTCCCTAATCGGATTTACGGATAATATCTATAACGCGTTATCGATCCGATCAAGGAACGTGATATTTCGGCTGCGTGATATTTGGCCGTATGTATTTACGTGTGGCTGTGAGATTGTTGGGATCTTTATAAAAGGATAGAGAGAAGACAGGAGCGCGGGAGGGTGAAAGGAAAAGAAAGAGATAAGAGAAAGAGAAACTGTCGTGCCAATATTGTTTCAGTAGAATGCAGGAAAAGTCTGTGTAGTTACTCCAAGAGGAAACAAGGCGGAATTCCATCGAACGACAATCGCAACGTATCGGTAGAACGCGTCCTGGGATATGAGAAGGGCTCGGAGCAGGTTTTGCAGAATCCCAGGGATTCTTGGGATACGAGAGTTTTCGATTGGAAAAAGGCAAAAAGAGAGAAAGAAGAGAAAAGAAAGAAAAAAAGGGACCCAAACTAGAAATAAAATAGCTAGAGAGAGAAAGAGAGAGAGAAGATAATACGATCTCCATGATTTTCACGTTGAACGGAAACAAACACACTAACCGCTGACGCAGCCGTAAGCAATAATTTCCAAAGTCTGCCGTCGACGTAAGGTCGACGGCCTAAAGTTCTGGCGACGCTTGGCGTCGTTCCAGGTGTCAAGGATCGTAGCCAGGTCCAGCTGTAAGGACGGGTTATCCTTGGCGTCGTCCTGGCTCCTGGATGAAACAAAAGAGCCAGTACCCCATTTCCGGATGAACGGTTCAAAGTAATATAATTAAGAGGCAGGAGGTGTAGCCAGCCCTCTTAAATTAATAAAGATCATATTTCAAGTCCAGTATATATCCTTTACCCGTGAAAAGCTATTAAATAGACTCATTTCCGGTCGATATCTATTTCGGACACCTGCTGCGACCAGTACTTCCTGCAGCCTTTCGATTGGTCTCACTTGGTCTCGCTTGGTCCAGGAACTACCGTGGAGATTCTCCAAGCTTTGCCGAGCTTCAAATGCGATTTGCTCGGCGTTCAAACGCAATCCGCCACTCCTGGCCGAAGGATGTGCAAAGGATTTAAATAAACAGCGGAAGCCCACCGCGAGGATACGAGGACAGAGAGAGAGAGAGAGAGAGAGAGAAGAAGAAGAGCAAGAGAGAATCAAGAGAAGCTGGGGAACCGAAAGAGAAGTAGGGGGTAAAGCTCGTGTTTGCCCATGTAGGACCCTGTACTACTGCGGTATGTACCAAACCGTAAAACGAAGTGGGTAGCTGGGTAGCTGGTAGCTGGGTAGCTGGGTAGGTACCTAGGTACCTAGTACTACACAGTACCAGACTCCGTTATCGCTCTCGACGTCAAGCGACCATTTCTCTACGGTCGTAGAAAGTGGAAACGCGCTGGAATTTACCAGCATGCCTTTTCCTATGGCGACTGGATCGTTTCCGCTGTTTTCATGTGTCGAGGGACTCCGTCTAGTACCGTCGCTTTCGAATCCACCGACTTCACTCGTTCCGCCGATAGCATCACCGGGCATCCAGTGACTCTCGATGCGTCATCCGAATAGACAGATTGTCTTAATACGTAATCATCAAGAGGATTACGTAAGCGTCCAGACTACTCGATGCCTTCTAAATTATAAATTCTAAATCATCGACTTCTGGTTATATTTATACAAGATTTAACGATTATCGTCATTTAACCAGGGAGCTGCGTGCTAATTTAATAGCGAAATGTCATCGACGTCAATTTTCATTATAAAATTTTGACAGATTTTATTAAGCGTTAAGACGCATTCTCAGAGGACCAGAGAAATTCACTCACGTTTATTGGCATTGTCGCAAATTCTCGTTTAGCCTTTGTCATTCATTCCTCACGGGGAAGCGTCACGATTTGGAGAAAAAATGATCATACGCAACGAACTACATTCGCCCTAAGGAATTCCCAACGAGAATCTTCATCCGCGAAAGGGGTCCCACGTAATTACGCGAACGGAACGCGCAGACACGCGATTCGCAAAAGTTGCGAGTCGTCTCGGTGCAAAACAGGCGAGACGAGAGAAAGGATAAAATAACGAAGGATAGAAGGAAGGAAAATAGAAAACGTCAGACTATCTAGAATTTCTGTGAAAACTAGTCGCACGAGCGACCTTCGTTTCTATGGGACGACATTCCCAGCGTCGTAGGGATGAAGGAAGCTGGATTCTCTTTGAAGTCGCGAATCGACTGCGAGGCTTTCGCCAAGTATCGAACACTTCAATTCGATTCGAATTCGAGATCAAAGTTAATAATTGTTTACTTTTAATGCAGAGAGGATCATACAAAATTTTGTCTGGGAGATACAAAATGTAAAAAAAAAAAAGATAAAGAAAAAGAAAATTCTTCCAGAGTCGACAAACGTATATTATAAGGACATGAAAACCAGAGCGGCTTACTTTACGAATATAATAATGAGAATAGGAGCGAGTCTCAGCAACGCCTATTAAATACTTGCCAGGACGACGCCGGGCGTCGCCTCGGGCTCTTTGTACTGTCGCGTCCTTTAAAGCCGGCGTGCGACGCTGCCTCGAAGTTCTCTTGGTTTTCCGTTAAGATCAAGATTATTTGCTCTTCTTTTTCTTGGCGCTGGTCCACCATGTCGCGATTAACGTTTTCCTCAATAATTTTCATCAGCACCCCCCCCCCCGAAGTCGCGAATCGACTGCGAGGCTTTCGCCAAGTATCGAACACTTCAATTCGATTCGAATTCGAGATCAAAGTTAATAATTGTTTACTTTTAATGCAGAGAGGATCATACAAAATTTTGTCTGGGAGATACAAAATGTAAAAAAAAAAAAGATAAAGAAAAAGAAAATTCTTCCAGAGTCGACAAACGTATATTATAAGGACATGAAAACCAGAGCGGCTTACTTTACGAATATAATAATGAGAATAGGAGCGAGTCTCAGCAACGCCTATTAAATACTTGCCAGGACGACGCCGGGCGTCGCCTCGGGCTCTTTGTACTGTCGCGTCCTTTAAAGCCGGCGTGCGACGCTGCCTCGAAGTTCTCTTGGTTTTCCGTTAAGATCAAGATTATTTGCTCTTCTTTTTCTTGGCGCTGGTCCACCATGTCGCGATTAACGTTTTCCTCAATAATTTTCATCAGCCCCCCCCCCCCTCTACCCTCCCCCTCCCCACCTTTCCTGATAACAATTTCTTTTTCTTTATCCCGTCATCCCCTTGTACACGGAAATTCGTAAATCCGTGTTCTCCCGCCAGTCGTCGCCAGGGGGTGATTTCTTTTTTTCTTTTTTCTTAGGGTCTCAGAATCGCTACGGGGGGCTGGTCGGGGGGGTAGTTGGACCGGGGACAAATAACAAATGCGACGCTGATAATGCCCGCTATCGCTCATCGCCTCGGGAACTTTCAAATATATTAAAAGGAGCGTCCCGACGGCGAATTCGAGAGACGCGATTGCGACGGGCGTCATATCGCTTGGCCGCCGGCTGACGTCGGACGTCCCTGTCAGACTTAAGCGCGACTGGGAAAAAGAGAAAAAAAAATAATATCAAAAGGAAAGTCAAATGACCAACAGAGATAACTGATAAGGATATTTCAAATACGAAGAGAACCGTCTTGTCAACCGGGGAGAAAAGCTCGTCAAGTGGCGACATCTGGTGATCGTACAGGTGAAACTTGGAGGTATACTCCAAATTTTGTTTTTTTTTTACCATCTTCCACCGATATCATGGAAGCCACTATCAATCATTGAGAATTCCCGCTAAGGCAAGCCCTGCTTAAGGCTCGTTCACAACGAAAACGAATTTCGCAGTTTGCTTCAAGATTACCAGAACGACCAGTCGACCCCGATGGGTTTCTGCCGTTTCTTTGCAAGATCGTCGCCAAACATTGTGCGTTTCCGATTTTCGGGCCTTTTTCCTTTTTTTTTACCATCGTCCACATGAAAATCCGACCTGGTCTTACACCGTGACGTCACGTCGATACGAAAGACACGTGGGTCAGAAATTCCCACACGCCATACCTGCAGCGTGAGCTTACAATTTTTTTTTTAAACCGCCCCATACGAAAGCACGTGGCTGCAAGCTCAGGCATGGTCCACAATGGGACCTGCTTGAAAAAGAGGGTACAAAGAACCTTTGATACGGTAGGGCTGACTAAGGTATTTCTTTTTTCGGAAATCATCCCCAGAGTAACCCACTCACCATTATCATCAGCAAGATCAGGGCCATCATCAATATCAACAACATTCAACAGCACGAGCAACCCCACTGGCGCCATCGGATGTTCACTTCTCTTTTCTCGAAACCAGCCCTAACCCTTTCTTGGCAGATTCTCACCGTCTTCCAAGAGAAGCTAGGCTGTTCCTTCCGAAGGGCACAACCACCCTAGTCCCTCCCTTCATCCCTATCCCCATACGTAGCTACGCATCCCACCCTGATAATACCGTGAATTATGGCCGCTTATACACCTTGAGTGGCGCCATATATCCTTTCACGTGCGTAGAAAAAAAAAAACCTTATTCCTTTTCCAGATTGTGTATTGGAAAATATGGTCCCGGTCCAGGCCGAAGATGACGAAGGAGATTT